ACACGCACACACACGCGCCCACTTACACACACACACACACATACAACACACACACACACACACACATATACAGACCGTTTTCTCCGTGGTGGTGGAATGCCTACCACATTGAATTTGAATTCCTGCCACCACTGCTGCAAGGGCATCACAGAAAGATGTGTGCCCCTCGTGAGGGCATTTCAAGGACCAACCGACGAACGCCACCAGCGGTCCAGTAAGGGCATATCGGAAAGTTATGCCCCATGCTGACAGGGGCCTGCGGAAAATTTCAGAGGCCCGAGGGGCACCACAGGGTAAGTCGGCCGCAAATAAACGCAAACGTTAGGGGCATTTCGAAAATTTTCCCAACTTATAAACTGGAAAAAGAAAAAGGTTGAGATGTGGAGGGATTCCCGGCCTCCTTTTGCTCTTATAAGAAAAGTTAGAAAACCATGTTATTCCCTCACTGAAAAAAAACAAAAAACAAACAAACAAACAAACAAACAATTTTTGGCCGAGGGTTAGCCGATGATGCGGATCACGATTTCAAACTCCAAACAACTTTTGGCTGAGGATTAAAACAACTTAAACCTTAGCACAGAAAATAATAAAATAGTAAAAAATACACTGTTAGGGAATGGATCGCGCGGTCAAACTCCGAATCCTTCTATAATGAGATGGAGATGGAGATGGTAATCGTAAGGGCTACCCCCTTAATAGAAAAGGTAATTCAATCACAGAAAGGAAAAAAGAAAAAGACGATTAGGAAAGTAATTAAGGTGTACCCTGTTAAGAGAACTTCAGACCCTCTTAACCCCTTTAGAACTCCGTTTATAGTAACTTTATACCCTCCTCAGTGCCTGCACAGCTCTAGGTGAACCAACACCAAACTCAAAGACAAGGCCAGATTCTGACTGCTCAGGCTGATGGCGCATCTGCAGCAAAGCCAGTTCCCCCCCTTCCCCCTCCCTTGGTCTACGTCTGTGAAGTTGAAAAATGTTTGGCAAAGACAAAAACTTGCTCTTGCTCAAAGAAAAATCCTACTGAATGGTCCATGTGTCCCAACTTCGATCTATTTTCTGTTGGGGCAAGGCTTCACGACTCAGAAGTTCATTCTCTTTGTCTCCTATGTGTCCAAATTCTTGCTAACGAGTGTCATGTGTCTTTTTCTGCGTGTGTGTGTGTGTCATGTGTCTTTTTCTGTGTGTGTGTGTGTGTGATGCTCTGTGTGTGTGTGTGTGTGTGTGTGTGTGTGTGTGTGTGTGTGTGTGTGTGTGTGTGTGTGTGTGTGTG